ACCAAAAATAAGTACTAATAAGGGCCCTTATTTTATTTTTGGCAAAATAAGTACTTATAAGACTTTGGAAGACCCGCTACGAACCCTGGGTTATGTATATATGTATTATAAACAGAACTTCGTTGGCAAGAAGTGAAACAGTTCGTACCTACGTTTCCTACCACGTGAAACAGTCGCAGAGCCTGGGCCGGCTACTTCATAAAACGAGCCTCGCTCAAGGCCATGCGTGACGCGGCGGCTTTTGATGTACACGATCGATCGATCGCGTACTATATACGGCCTGTGTAGCACGCGCGGCACATACACACACACTTGAAGCGTCAAATAAACGCACACACTGGCCAACGTCTGACAATCTCAAACAGTGAACTAAGCCCTGTCTATATTGTAAAGCGAACTATATTACAATGTTATTAAATGAAGGTACTGTTGGACTGTAAAATGAAAATGTGTACATGCTAACCCCCCCCCCCCTAAAATTTTCTCTCAACAGATTTAGACGTTTCACAAAATCGACCCTGGGACTGTGAAATCCACGGATTTTCGCAGATCCGCGGAAGATTCTCATCCCTGTATATACGCGCGGGCGGCGGCGCGCGCTTGATTGAATGCAATACAGTACAGTACACACATGCATGCTTAAATAGTAAACACTTGACAGTCACACCGTACCATGAATTCTACCGCGCCGTGGAACCGGCTGCCACTAGCGGCAGAGGCCTAGGCATCGCAGCGCAGCAACGCCGAGCAAGAGCGGCAAACCGACCTGGACAATCGATTTCCAGGGTGACTTTTTCTTTTGGGGTCGCCCCCGATATCATGTTTTCGGGGGCTCTTTTTGGCATTTCGGGAGCGAAATCCCCCGCCGCACCCGTGTATTTTTTCCCCTGCGTATTATAGACTGACGGACCAAAAATAATTATTTTTTTCTGATCACAGTGAAATTCGTAGTTTGATACAAACTGGTCGTAGTGGTGCAAAGGAATACAAATTCGTATAAAATACGAATAAATCGTAGTGGTTGGCATCTCTGGTAATGTGACTTCAAACTCAGAAGTTTCGCGGTTCTTGCACCTTCTGCAGGAATGTATACTCTTTAATAAGTGTTTATGATTCCGACTTTCCCCGCGGGCGACCGCCGCAGAGCGTGATTGGCTGCAGGCAGATCGCGTCATCTCCAGTACTCTCCAGTCTCCAATCACGCTCCGCGGCGCCCGACGCGGGGCCATTCGGACTCGTGAACTGTATACATTATTGCAGAATCGGTAAGAACCGCGAAACTTCTAAGTTTGAAGTCACATTACAAAGAAAGCTTGCACTTTCCACGGTAGTTACATAGTTGTGTTCAGTGGACTATAGAGGGCAGAACGAGCCAAAAATGGAGGTCGTAAAGGCATGACAAAGTTGAGAAATCTGAAAGAAGTGAGGAGCGATCGGTGAAAATTGCACGGCCGAGTTTCCTACCTTCTTATATATATATCATTATATTTAATGGCGACACAGCACACTCGCAGCGGCGAGTGCGGGAGCGGCTAGTTCTGCATTAGTTTTTGTGAAAGTTGATATACAGACTATTATTAGTTTTTACTGACTCTGTCCCAAGTGCCTGTGTTCCTTTAGCTGGTACCTGGCAAGGGAGGTGTAGCACCACCTCTGGGTCACACCTGGGTGTAGATACAATAATGTAACCCAACACAAGAGAAGGGTTACAACTTACAACGCAAGCCTATTCTTTTCTTTGGAGGAGCCCCCGAGTGATTCACTCAGGGCGGTTTTATGGTGCGTTTTTGGAGAAGTTTGCCGATCGCTATGCACATTGGGAAAGCCAGCGTCACAGGTCACCAGAAATGGCGCTCGAAATATCGCCGCTCGTCACTTCGAAATTTTGTAACAGGTTATATTAGTTTAATACAGAGTATTGTCATACATAGTAAGTCCCAGGATAGCGGAGAAAGGTTCGTGTTTAGAATAAACCTAGTTTGGAAATTCTAGTCTCGAAAAACGCACCATAAAACCGCCCTGAGTGAATCACTCAGGGGCTTCTCCAAAGAAAAGAATAGGCTCGCGTTGTAACCCTACTCTTGTGTTGGGTTACATTATTGTATCTAACCTGGGTGGTGCTATACTAACTGTCTGTTTTATACACACACTAGTTTTGCCTTGGTATGTATCATATATGTCATCTAGCCAGAATCTGAGTGCGCAGGAAAAAATGCACAATCGTCCTGCCTAAAATGCGTTTTGGGTACCACACCTAGGTACAATTTCTTGAACATAGTATTAGTATAGTAATATCTAGAGTCTAGTAGTAGTAGCACTTACTTTTGCTGAGAGGGTCTATGTCCCCCAGGGTACTGCCGGAACGTACCCTGGTACTAGCTCTAGTACTATAGCCCGCGTACATTGACTGCCGCAGGGCTATAGAACATTGTCAGCTCGATTTCGCTGCTGCGCAACCTGTTGCCACCTGTCCACACGAAAAATGGATCGCAAAACGCAAAATGATCGGGCTTTTTAACACTGATTTATCTACATGGACATCTCACCTATCTTTTTGAACACTTTCCACAACTTTACACCACGTATTTATTCTTTTATTACTCAAAGTCAGCACTACTGGCATTCCCGTTTGAAATATTCTGGCGTACGAACGCGTGACGTCACCGGTATTGTACGATAGATGAACCATAGCTGCCATGTGTTTTGCCTACATATCCGGTGACGTCACGCGTTCGCACGCCAGAATATTTCAAACGGGAATGCCAGTAGCGCTGACTTTGAGTAATAAAAAGATAAATACATGGTGTAAAGTTGCTGAAAGTGTTCAAAAAGATCGGTGAAATGTCCATGTAGATAAATAAGTGTTAAAAAGCCCGATCATTTTGCGTTTTCTGAGCCATTTTTTGTGGAACCAATCGGGACCAAGTGCAGAAGCGAAATCGAGCTGACAATGTTCTATAGCCCTGCGGCAGTCAATGTACGCGGGCTATAGTATTAGAACTACCCTGGTACTATCTAATATGCCGGACCGTACCTCGCCTACTCCACTAACAAGTCTAGGGAGTCGCCTACGCCTATACTCCCTAACCAGTAACCCTAATCCTAACCTTAACCCTAACCATATCAGATAGTTACCAGGGTACGTTCCGGCAGTAACCTGGGGGGCATAGACCCTATGAGTATGAGTCTTACTTTTACTGCATGATCATGTATAATCTTATTCCATATTATCATATGGCATATCATAAGGCATATGGCATATAATAGGCCATACAAACGCTCATGTTGTAGTTGCACCATGATGTCGTTTTTATGTTGTAAATGTAATGTCTAATGAGTTTGTATGAGCAACTTACCACCTAATACTAATAATAACTTAGACTATGGCCGTATGGGTAGTTATTACCATATCATCAGGAGTAAGATAGTATAGGATCCTACATTATCTTACTCCTGATATCATATGGTACGACTGTACCGTGCACGACACTGAGAGATTGGAGAGTGGAGACTGAAAGTGAAAGGACGAAAGTGGGAGGTGTCAGGTGAGTACTGGTGACCTAGATTTGCGGAAAAAGATATAAATAATAATGAAA